AACGATTATTGTGTCGATGTGCTGTTTGTTTGTTGATATGTTGTTGACCTCCGCCATGCGGCGTGCGGCCATTGCCAGGCTTGCGACAGTCAAGTACGTGGCTCTGCAGTTCATGCCAACGACGAAAGTGATTCGCACAAGAAGCATACCGTGAACTCCCCAGGTATTGAACAGCTGACCTGGGCGTGCTCTCTGAGCAGTCCGTCACGGTTAGCCAACGCGACCATCTTGGTCGCACAGGCGACGTGCCAGCTGAGCTGGCAGATCGAGCACACGTGAGGCTCGTGGCCCGAGCACTCGGATTGCTTGCATCGGTTACAGTCCGTTGCAACTGGCAGGACAGTAGCAAGCCTCCACATATCGATCAGTCGAAGCAGGCGAGCGTCAACGAGGGGCCTGCCTTTTGACTTGTCTTTCTCTGCGCACGTGCCCACAGCAAACATCAGGATTCTGCAGCCCTTGAAACATCTAGGCCTGTTCAGGGGCAGTGGCCAAATTGCCCTGTTCAGCTTGTCCAAGTTGACCACGCTGCCACGACGCTCGTGCCCGCCCTCGTACCAATGAACCAAAGTTGGGTGCACTACGACTGGCTCATCCTCACCTTTCTCCTTCGGGGTAGCGAGAATGAGGGAGAGCTCGCCGCCGTGGCCGACAGGGTGCATCTTGGTCGCATCCTCCGCCCAAAGCAAGACCTCCATCATGTGTTTAGCGGTCGGCAGCCACTTCTCGAATGCCTCTCGCCACCCCTCGACGTCCTCGATGTCGCCAGCCATTTCCTCGAGAGCTGCATCTAGTATCATATCACGTTCTGCTTCTTCTCCATCCTCGGCCGCGCCATCTGGCAAGGCCTCTGGGTCCACTGCCGCTGCGTCCAACAAGTGCTTCACAACCTCACGCTCCTTCTTGTCAGCCTCGTCGGCGGCTGCTTTGTCGATGATGTCCTCCAGGTCGGCAGCCAGACCATCGTCCACATGGTCAGCCGCATCAAGAATCATCGCAGCTGCCTCGTCGGCACCAGGAGCTGCAGCTTCAACATCAGGATCGACATGTCCATCTGGGACCCCATGCGCTCCAGCATGCGCCATAGCGTCGCCATCGCCGCCAACGTCAACGCCCCCCTCGGCGATGGCAGGAGGTCCCTTGCACGGGCGCTTCTCGAACTGGCAGACTAGATTCATATGCTCGTCGCCGAGTGGAGTCGCCGAGATCCTCCTCGCCAGCTCGTCGAATGAGACGTTGACCTTGAAGTCGTGCAGGTTGGGCTCACGTCCATTGACGAATACCTTACAGGCCACCCACCCGTCGATCCGCATCCACCTGGCCCCGTCTCCCCAATCACCAGTGCACCCCCGCCCACCCCCGCCCAGCGGTGAGCGATCACGATGATCACCCGCCCCGCCCAAGCCCTGTCCCGTCCCTTGGGGGTGCATGGCGACGGGAGACGAGGCGGACGGTGGATCCCAGATCGATGGGTACCTCGTGGTGCTGGTGTTCGAAAGCTCTGTAAGAAGTCACGATGTCCAAAGGCCGCACCAAGCGTGCGGAACCATCTTCCCCAATAGTAGCCCTTGCCAGGTACCCAACATATTGAGACAGGTCTGCTCGTACAAAACAAGACGCACCTGGACCGATGCCTTCTGCAGCCACGCCCCTGGACTCCTTGATCACACCATCAAGTCGTTGAGATCGTACCCATGCTGCGTTGAAAGGGACGACCCATGCCACTTCTCGGGTCGGCCTTAGGCTGGGGTCGATATCTTTGAGAGCTGCCGCTAGTTCCTTCTCGCCCGCCAAGTCTGCTATCGGAGGCGGCGCTGACCACCGCCCCGTGGCACGAACGATGGCTTTGACGTCATCAACGTACTCGTGCGCAGTATTGACTACTGCAGTACATGTAGGCTGTAATTCCGACCATTTCCTGCCACGCTTTGGGAATGCCTTTTTGACGTTGACCCTCGACGAGAGCAGCTCCAAACTGATGTGCCTAGACCTCAAGCACTCCTCACTCAGCATTGAGTTGTAGCCCTCGCACTCCTGAGTAATGCAGAGCACCGACCTCTTCAGCAGCCTCAGTAATGACCACAAGCGCGGTGTGCAAGTACCGCGGTCGACAGCTATCCTCAAACAATCTCTGTACAAAAGACGAAATGCAAAGTATAGAATCAAAAATAAAAAAAAAAAACACCAAAAAAATATAAAAAACATAAAAAAAAAAAAAAAAAGAAAAAACAAGAAAAAAAAAAAAAAACAACAAAAAAAAAAAAGTAAAAAAATAAAAAAAAAATATAACAAGTCAGAAATAAAACAAAAAAAAAAAATAAAAAATCTAGAAGAATAAAAATAAATCTAACGCTCTAAAAATAAGAACAACACTGTCCAACATGAAACCCCACTCCACCCCATACCCACGCACAGCCACGTTTGCCCCCCCCCTCCCCCAACCCGTTCACCCTCACCCCCCCCCCAACTCCCCTCACTCCCTCCCCCTCCCCCCCCATCCCCCTACCCCCACCCCACCCCCACCCCCCCCCGCGCCTCCCCCACACAAAGCCACCCCCCCCAGATTGCCACCACCAACCTCGCGATACCAAACCCCTACTCCATTGGCATGACGCCCGCACCACCAGGCACCCCCACCTCCCTCTCCCCGCACCTCTCAGCAAACGTGCCATCGATATCCGAGCCGTCGGAGACGGATCCCGGGTCTGCGAAAAATGGGCTCAACGACTCGCCAATGAAAGCCAGCGGCATTCTGCAGAACCACCGCCCAGTGCATCTCAGTCAGGCGGCTCTGGTCGGCTTTATCTGGGATAGCAGCCAACAAGTCGAGCGCCCTGTCGTTCTCCATCGCGCCGTCGATTTCCACAAAGAACTCGTTGGCCCTTCCGCAGGCCAGCTGCGCTAACTGCATCCCCTTGGCGTCGAGCTGATCAGTTGTGTACACCGATCGCATGGAATTGTAGAAGTGCTGTAACGGCTGTAACTCTATCTGGTTTAACTTGAGCACTTGCCAAAACAGCGGCGATACCAACACGTCGCATACATCTCGCCTCCAGTTGCCCATCTTTCGGCGGTGCTCGGCGTGCTCCTGGATCGAGACCTCGTTGAACTGGAGGCCCGAGTCGTCAGCGATTGGCAGGGGTGCGTCTGCCTCCTTCTTGGTCTTCTTAGTCAGCACCGAGATCAGCACCCTCGCCAACTGTTCCCCGCCCTCGAGGACCCTGTCAATGCAATCGCCGACCGGACCCCACCGCCCTGACAAGCACCTCGGCGGCGTTTTCTTTGCACATCGCATGGCTGCCGCGTCTCCGCACGTGGCCCTCCACTCTGCGAACACGTCCTTGGCGACCTCGCGCCAACACAGCATGATCTTCGCGAGCGACCCGTAGAACCTCCAAGGAATGCCCCACGCCTTGAGATAGACGTCAATGAGAGAAAGTTGCTTGCACACCAACAGTGAATACGCATGTGCGAAACAGTCTGTGTCAAAGAACAAGATCCTCGGAATCGGGCCGCACAAGTTTCGCAACTGTCTCCTGGCTTTTTTCTGGTCGGACCCGCCGTCGGAAGTGCATGAAAGTATGAACAGCGAATTTGTGTTCGGGTGTTTTGTCGTCCAATCGTCAACGTCTGTCCACAGAGGGCAGCCGACACTTCTCAGTTGCTTTCTCACTAGAGCTAATGTCCCACCAGCTGATGAATTGTCGACGGGCTGGCAATCTGCCCATCTGGTCATCTCTGCGTACCCGTCTTCCCATGCACAGAGAGGGTCGTCGTCGATGCGACGGGCGTCTGCTACGACCAGCGTGCGCACTTTCATGCCTTGTAGTTTCCTGCGCTGCCAGATAGAGCTGTTGGTGGCGTCGCACATGAACGAGACTACTGCAACGTCCGCTGGCGAACCGCCCAGCGTCGGTGAGTCAGCCCACTCCTGAAGAATAGCAGCATGGAAGGATCTCGATGCAGCGAGCAGCGCAGCCCATGTGTCGACTTCGCACCGATACACAGTAGGTCCCGACAGGTCGACACGCTGCGAAACTCCATATGTCCACCCAGCCACGTTCGCAGCGTTCCGCAAGACTCCGACTGCGAAGCGGCTATGCTCGCGCAGCCGTCTGCCGCCCCTGTGTTTCTCCACGCTCAGCTTATCTGCCTTACTCGTATCCTGCAACTGTTCTAATTCACCCTGGAAGGTGGCTATGCGCTTCTTCAAGCGCCTCACTCGTTGGGACAGTATCTTGATTTTATGTTTCTGCGTCGCTTGCCGACGCTGGGCCCTAGTCATCCGACGGCGTCGAGCTGGCTCTGCAGGCTCTGCAGGCGGCATCGTGCTGGTCGGCTCCTCGTCAGATAAAATGTCTACCACCACGCCCTCAGCAGAGGCTCGCTGCTGCAAGAAGGATGTCAAGTTGCCTACGATCGCGGCCCAGTCGTCGGCAGGAATGCTGTACCCCAGTTCGTGCACGAGCAGGTCGAACACGATATCGACATTGTACTCTGCATTGGGCTCCACCACGCTCCCACGTCTGTTTAGCCTACCCCACGCAGCATTGTGTCTCTGGTTAGACGGCACGCACTGACCAATGACCCCGCGGAGGGCATCCCCCGCAATCACAACGCGCCCGCCAGATCGAAGCTGGCAAACATGTCCCAAGTACAACTCTGTTCGACGCTGTATCGAACTCGGGTGATGCATGATTTGAGCCAAAACTGGCTACGCACGTGATGGGCGTGATGGAATGACCCAATAACCCAATAACCTTGCGGAGGCAGATGACAGTGAAGATGAGGACCTCCAGACTCCAGGCTCTCGAGGCCCCATTGGGCCCATGGGCCCCATCGGTGGAGGCGGAATGTAGAGGTGGACGCTGATAAGGAGGAGGCTTAAGGAGAGTGCCAGGACCAGGGACCCCGGCGAGGGTGAGGGTGCGGTGAGGATGAGAAGGAAGAAGCCCAGGAAGAGCCTTCAGGAAGAGCTGGAGGTCAGGACGAGGCTGAATCCCTGCAGTCTCTCGGGCATCGCGCATCGCACCTGCACGTACTCCGAGCCGACTGCCCCCGTCGCGTCGAGCAGAGTGACGCTCGCACTAGACAGTGAGCCTAGTTAAAATCCGAATCCGATTCGACCCTCCGTTGCGGGATGCAGATCCAGCGCGAGAGCCCACGAGAACGTTGGTCCGAACCTGAACCTGCGAGCGTCTGCTGGCCGACAGACCGATTCGATCGAGAACCTGAGTCGAAAGCTCGCTGAGCTCGATAGTTCGATGGCCCGATGGCTCGACTGGCAGTCGAGTCGAGCCGACTGCTCACCTAATCCCTCGGCCGTCAGTCCGACTGCAGCGACTCATCCTCGCCATCCTCGCCCTCGCCCGAGTCGTCGTCGCTCTCCGAGACGATGGAGGAGATCTCGTCGCCCCCCACGGGCTCCTTCGGCGGTCGGGGGGTGCCCCTCATACTCCCCCTATTCCTCATCCTCCGCCTCCTCCTACTCACCCCTCCTCCTCCTCCCCCTCCTCTTCAAGCTCCCCTCCCCCTGGCCAACCACAACCATCGCTGTCATCGCCGTCATCGCCGTCCTCCTCCTTATCCTCTTCGTTTTCGTGCGAGGCCGTGAGGTTAGTGGCCCAGTGGCTCCTCGCTGTCTGGTAGCGGAGCTGGCGCTGCCGAAGAGCTCGCGCCCGTGGCCGTCGTGCCCGTGCCGCCGCCGCTGCTCTTCTTGCCGTTGAAGATGCTCAAGACATTCTTGAGGCGCTTGATCTTGCGGACCTTCGGGAGGGCCGTCGCGGCCGGCGGCCCCTTGCTCAGGATGTACGACGCGTTGCTCTTCAGCGCCGTCAGAGCGTTGCGGATGGCCTTGTTGCCACGCAGCTGCTCACGAACTGCACGACGTTGCTCACGAGCTGCAGCCTTCCACACCACGAGCTCCGACTGCAACTCGGTGATCACCCTCACCGCGGCCTTCTGCTCTCTAGTGGTGAGCAGCGCGAGCGGAACCTTCGGCTTGGCCTTCTTCATCGCCTTCGGCGTCGGCGGCTTAGCCGCAGGAGGCACAAGAGGCTTCTCGAGCTTCTCCTCGTTGTCCGCCATCTGGAAGAAGTGGCAGACGAGTGGGGTGTTCTGTGGAACGAAAAGAAATGAAGACAGAAGACCTTGCTCGCCGAAATGGCTGCTGAAACCACGACAACCGCGATGGTGACGGAGAACGATAGGACCGCAAGTCGCCGACCCCATGGGGCCACCGGTGGCCCACCAGGTGCGTGAAAGTGTTCAGACATTCGTCTGCTACACTTGAACACAATCTACTTCAAGCTGCTAGCACATAGTTCGACCCGAATCACTTTATCTTATATGGTTTTTTATTACAATTTAATTTATCTTTTACTGAGATATAATATTATTTTTTAAAAAATCACGGTCGTTTTTTGTAGTTCCATAATTTACTATTCGGTAGACTTACAATAACTTTGTTGCGAAGTGATGTTTACCGTAGATTCCCTTAGTGTAAAACGCTGCGTTGGTAAGCGTGTTTGGTAAACCTAGCTGGGACTAGCAATGTAGGCGGGGCTGGAATGATGCTGTTGGGACAACCTCACAATCTGTTTTTGCCTCGCGCCAACGAGGGTTACGTTGATTCACAGTGCTGGTTGATAGTTGCGTCACTAGGTGGTAGCGGCTGGTCGCCGAGAAGGGCGGCAAAGTGGGCCTGACTGTTTGGGTATTGCGTCTGAGCTGTCTCATACGGAGCTGGCGCTTCCTTCTCGCTCTGGTGCGTGGTGGCTTGTGATCGGTGGTGAAGCACATTGGGCCCAGGCCATCGCTTCTTGCTCCTGAGCCATGGCGGTGGTCGACGTATTCGTCACTCACGCATGGCAGCCAGTCGCTGGCAACCGCAGCGCACTCGCGTCTATGCTTCGCAAGCTTGCTGCTGTTCTTTTGCTACCAATCGCGAGCGCAGGCGCGCGGTGCATCAGCGCGCCAGCGCGCGCAGGGCCGCGGGCTGCATCAGTCCGTCACACTTGCGAGGCATTGTCGCCATCGCCTGTTCGCCGGCGAGTTGGCGGCGCTGCGTTGCCAACGCGCGGCGGGCTGCCTGCGTTGACTATTGCGCTGAACTCTGCAAACATGATCGTAGGTGGCCATTTGTCGGCCAGGCTGCGGAATGCGCCACCGCCCGGGAGCGCGTCTGTCGTCGCGCTGCATGCGAGGTGCACGCGCGACATATGGTTTCGCGCATAAGTGGTGCCCGTGGATTGATGACGAGCAGTCGGTGGGAAGCGCGAAGTACTCTGAAGCGTTTGCACTTGAAGTAGAGCTGTCGCCAGGGCGCGGCAGCGCGCGGCATTGCTGCGCGGACCAGCAAGCCGCACCCATATGTGGAAGAGCGGCGTGGCGTAAGAAAAACTGCACGTGGGTGTCGGCAGTGCTGAAGTCGCTTCGGGCTGTAGTCTCTCGTGGCCCCATGATGCGAACCTTCTGCTGTAGACATCGTGTTCATAAGAGTCTCATTTGTGTGATTAGATCGCATGCTTGCCCCGTTGTAGGTCGTTTTTTTGTCGCGCCCACACCTTCCCCCCGTGCGTCATAAGTGGCAGTCTCGAGGCGGGCAGTGGAAGACTCGTCCTCTACGGTCGCGGGCGCAGCTTGCGGGCGCACGTCGGCACCGGTCTGCTCGCCAGCTGCCGCGGCGAATGGCGCGGGCTGATGGGCCGCGTGGGTCGACTTGCCAAATCCGCCTGGCTGAGTCGCCGGAGAGGCGCAGCGGTCGTTGGTTTAGCCTTTCTGGCGACTGGTCCCGCATATGTGTTCATGATCTGCTCGTAGGCACTGTGGAAGCACGCCTGGTTGAGGAATATGGGGTCGGTTGCGCTTGCTTCTTCTGAGTTCGAGTTGAGACTGGTGCGCGCCTGTTTGCCAGTGAGCCTGCAAGCTCATTCCACGCGTGGACTTCGCGTCAACGAATGTGGAGCATGGTTATGGAATGTCGCTTGCGCGCCAAGTGGAATAATGCGCATGCTATCCGCGCGATTTGATCGTCGATGCGCGTTACCCGATTCAGCGCGTGGATAGCGTTTGCTGAGTCCGCGCGCACTTGCGCATGCAAGTGCGGCGTTGCTGCGCGGCGTAGAGCATTGCCCATATGATGGCTGGTAGCTCCATTTTTGCGCCATCGATGTGGCCTGCGTCGGCATCGCCGCGGATGCCGCTCGCGGCGCTGCCCGCCAAGCATCCGCGCGCGACTGATTGGCGGTCGTCGCGCGCGAGCACTATGAATGCCCACGCCGAGTCGCCCTCGGCGGTCTGCAACGAGCCATCGGGACACACGAGCAACGCGGGGCGCGCGGGCAGCGGTCGGCTGCAAAACGCAAGCTCTGCTTGCGTAGCTGGACGGGGCGCCATGTCGGAAGAGTCGCGCAGCGGCGCCATGCCCCCGCTTGCGCCCTGGAGAGAGGCAAAGAGATGCGTCGGGATGTTTTGTTGGAAGTTTTAATGCGCACTGCGCATGGATGGGCCAAGGACACCTGCGTTGCCTGCACCTGTCTGCGGGTCAGGCATGGGATTCCACGATATGATAACGCTGACCTCTTAGGTCTTGTCAGGGGAAGCCTGTCGGGTGAAGCTGCTGTCTGCCTCTGGCGCCCCGTCGGCTGCTAGTCGTTTGGTACCAGTGACCTCGAAGTCACTGTCGGTCTTGCGCCCACGTCGTCGTTGCTCATATTCTCCGTCGGCGCACGCCGCGGCGCGCACCTAGGTGGCGAGCGAGATGCTTGGAGCAGATCGCTGGGACTTGATCCGATTGTGACTTTGCGCTGCATGGCCAGCGACTGTACTTCGGCCACGCGTTGGAATGCCTCCGACTGTTCCACCGTATCCTGTTGTTCGGGCGTCGCAAGGCATTGCGGTGCGTCGCCCATAGACAATGAACGTGTAGTCGCTGCCCCACTGCATTATGGTGCTTGTGCTTGTGGTATACCTCCTGAGTATATATCGGTTGGCGTTGTGGGAAGCGTATGCTGCTGCGTAGCTCTGGGCGGGCAATGCTGCGTCGGCGCAATCGGCGGCCCGGGTGGCGGGTCGACTTGTCGCGGGAGTGCCATTTGCGGCGGCGGGCTTGGCGCGTCGGCAAAATGTTGCACCGGCGCGCACGCGCTGGCGCGCGCCATCGCAAAGTCGCCCCCCACGTCGCCGGTTTCGTCGGGGACGTCGTCGAGGTCGTCGCCCATGATGCCTTCGAACTCGTCTTGCAGCTGGTCGACTTCGTCTTCCATTCGCGCTCGATGTAGTTGTTGTCGTTTGAATTCACATGCTCTTCTTCGGCGCGCCTTTCGCACTCGATGTCGCTGTCGATGCGCGTATCATCCCCGACGTCGCGGTCGAGGTCTGGCACCCGCTGTTCTTGCCAACGCTGCTTCCTTACGCGGCCTTCCCTGGCTCGCCGTGGAAGCGTCGTCGACTCTGCCCCCACTTCTCTACGCCACTTCTCGGAAATCCCGCGTGCTGGCACGCGTGCGCGCATAGCCGTTCGTCGGTGCTGCACGCATGCTTCAGCACCTTGCTTGCATTGTTCTGCTGATGAAGCCGCTGCTGGTAGTGTTGGTCGGCCATATTGAGTTGCTCGTTCGCGCTCGCCAAAACGAGGCGCGCTGCTTCTTCGTCGTTGCATATGTCAAGTAGATTGCGCTCTGCTTGTTCGAGTCGTTGCGCGATCTGCGCTGCCACTTGCGCTGCGGGGACTTCATGGTCGAATGTCGCTTGTGCTTGTGACCGTTGTGCCACGTACGTTGCGCACGGTTACCCATGGCCGCGGCGACGCTGCGCGCGCGATCTGGGTTGTCTGACTCCACGTGCGAGGCCATGCTCCAGAGAGTGCATCTTCTGTTCTTACCATCAGCACGCATGGGCCATGGTTCGGGCCATTTCTTCTTGTTGAAATTTGTCCTGATCATATCTCCGTTGACATGAATACTGCATGCGCTCTTCTGTCCTTTGTCTTGCTCTGAGTATGCCCGGCGCGTTGTTGCTGCTGTATGAGTCATTGGTCATGACATGCTGCTTGTTTTTGGTGCAACCCGTGTCGCAATCCTGGATCGGTCGCCTCTGGCTCCTCTCGTGATTCCTTCTGCTCGGGGTGCGTCGGACTGGGTTGATCGTTATGTGCCCGTAGTTGCTGGGCTTGTGCGTGGTAATGGAGTGCTTGCTCAGCGGGACTCTCTACATGTTGCTGTATTTACTCATGTTGGTCTGTCGTGCGATCGGCTTCATGTTGTGCTGCTGCTTCTTCTTCTTCTTGACGCACTGCCGTCGCCCTGCTGGTTTGCATACGTGGCTCTGCTTGTCGCAGTTCTTGTCTGTGCTCGCGTGTCTCGCGGTAGTCGTTGGACAGGTGGTCGCTTGCTGCTTGCAACTGTCGCATGGTGTCTTCGGCTGCTTGTAGTTGTTGTTTTCCGGCCTCCTTGTCAATGTTGTCTTGAGCTGCCGTGAGTTCTGCACCAGTCCTGTCGTTGGCTTGGAGGTCGTCGCGTGGTGCTTTGAGTAACGCCTCGAGCTTCTGCGTCTCTTCGTCAGTGACGGCGTTAGGAATGGTGGCTCTGAGTGGGCCTTGGGCTTGTGGACGTTGTCCTCATTCTGCTTGGCCTGCTTCAAGGCTGCTGTAAAATGATCCGGCCTGTGAGTTTCTGAGAGCGTGGGCTTGAGCTCGCTCAAGCTTCGCTCTGCAAAAGGGGGGCGCAAACGACGAAAGAATTGACACGCAAGGCCTCCCCATTGCCGGGACCGCCCCCCCCTGCACCTTCCTTTCCGGCGCCCCCCCCCTCTCTCCCTGTCCCCCCCCCCCCCCCCCGTGCACTGCGGCCTCTGGACAGTGTGGAGAGCGTGGGGGGGAGGGAGGGAAAGGAAGAGAAGGGGGGTGGGGACAGGAAGAGGGGGGGGGGGGGGACAGGAGAGAGGAAGGGCGGGTTGGGGACAGAGGAGACGAGGGGAGTGGTAAGGAGAGAGGGAGGAGGTAGGGGGACAGGAGAGACGGGGGGGGGAAGGAGAGGAAGGAAGGGGTGGGCAGGCGAGAGATGGGGGCTTCCTTCGGGGACAGGAGAGAGGGGGGGGTGGGGGACGGGGGAGTTGAGGTGAGGGAGGAGGGGATAAACGGGGGGGTGTGGGGTGGACAGGAGAAGCAGCGGAGGTGGGTGACAGGAGACTGAGGGGGGGGGGGGGGAAAAAAAAAAAAAAAAAAATAAAAGGGGCGGGGGGCCGGAGAGTGGGGTGGGGGAGGAGGTGGGGGTGAATGGGTTGGTTTGGACAGGAGGGGCCCCGACGTGGGGGTAGGAGGGGGGGTCAGGAGAGAGGTGGGGGGGAAAGGAGAGAGGCGGGGCGGGGGGACAGGAGAGGGGGGAGGGGGGGGGGGAAAGGAAGGAGAGGGTGGGTGGACAGGGAGAGAGAGGGGGGTGGCGGACAGAAGAGAGAGGGGGGGGGGTGCGGACAGAAGAAGAGGGGGGGCTGGAAAAGGGGGAGGGGGACAGGAGAGAAGGGGGGGACAGGAGAGAGGGGAGAGGGGGAGGGGAAAGGGAGAGAGGAGGGGAAAGGGACTGGAGAAAGGGGGGAGGACAGGAGAGAGGAGGGGGTTTTGGGCGGGGGCCGGGATTATCATCATCATCATCATCATCATCATCATCATCATCAGCATCAGCATCAGCATCAGCATCATCATCATCATCATCATCATCAGCAACATCATCATCATTAGCATCAGCTTCAGCATCAGCATCAGCATCATCATCATCATCATCATCAGTATCATCATCATCATCATCATCATCATCATCATCATCATCATCATCATCATCATCATCATCATCATCATCATCATCATCATCATCATGATCATCATCCGGAGCGCCCAGGATCGGCGGCACTGGCCGGAGGCCACTACAATATGTGAGCAAGCTGCGTAATCGTCTTTGAGCTTACGGATGCATTGTACGAGTTCGGCTTCTGGAATTTGATCTAGTAGCTGTCTCTTTACGGCTGCTAGATCGTGACGCAATTGACCTGCATCTTGTCCTGCACATCCACTGCCAGGATATGCGAAGCGAGCTTTCTAAGTTCGGCTGCGTTGGATACGCTCCATACTCCGACTTCAAGAGGGGTGGCGCCAGGCCTGCCTTTGTGCACGACGTCGTTGTGACAAGCTTCTGGTATGCTGTCGATCAAGGAGTGGTTCTCTCGCGTGGTGTATGCTAGGTTGGTTGGTCGCGTAAAATTCGCGCTGAAACTACCCAAAATCATGTGCGTGCAGCAGTTCGTGTGTTCTCTGTCCCTGCGGTGCCAAGCAGGGTTTTGACTACTTTGGGGGACACGCCCGTAGGGGGACACGCCCGAGGCTCCTGAAGCCCCGACCCGTTCGCTGGGGCCGGCTCTTCGTCCTGGGTCACCTTTCGGACGGTCCTGGGGCCCGGCTCGGCGGAAAATCAGGAGCGGCCAAGAGGGGGGTGTCCAAGAGGGGGTGCAAATCATGACCGGCGGCATGTGGGCGGCCCAGCGGGGGGGCCAGGGACGTAATAAAAATAAGAGGAGGCGCCATGAGATCTGGGGAAATATCATGGCCCGCGCCATGATATCCACCCCCCCTAGTCATCACCCCCCTCCTTTTCGCTCCCGAGAAAACTCCCGCACAGAGTTTTGTAAGTTCGTCGGAGGGCCAGGCCTGACCCTTGGGAGAGCGACGCGTGCGGCGAAGAGCGCATCTCACGGCTTAGCTCCCGCAGGGGCACGCGGCCCGAGGAGGCAACAGCGGCTCGCCATCGCTCGGATGTCCATTGCATGTGCATCTCGGTTTCGTGCGTTTTTGCAACATACTCCTGGATAGTCCTCGCCGAGAAAAAAAAAACGCACACGTCCGAGCGATGGCAAGGCGGAAGAGGGCGCACGAAGCATCGGGCAGGGCCTCCGGGAACGTGCCGATGGCGCCCGCGAGACCCTTGCTGATGGGCGTGCCCTTGGTCTCCGGGACGCCGTAGATGCCTCCCCGCAATGATCCTCCTCCGCCTGCCCCTGTTCCTCCTCCTCTTTCTCCTCCTCCCCCTCCTCCTCCTCCTCCTCCTTCTCCTCGTCCTCCTCCTTCTCCTCCTCCTCCTCCCGGAGGAGGGCACGGATGGCGGCGGAGGCATCAGAGCACTGGCAAGCGCGCCGCATCACGGAGGCCATGACCACAGCTCGACGAGCAGCCGCGTGTCGGCACGGCCCCAAGAAGAGGGACGGAAGACTCGCACGTTGATGCATTCCTTCTGCTGGCGAATGGTTTGAGACGTGGAAGTTGGAGGGGAAAGACGGAGGCATGCTGTGTACGGAATTGGATTGGAACGGTGGAGGGAGGAACACGACGAGGATTACAATTACGAGGAGGATAAGGAGGATATGTCTCAGATGCGCAAGTACGTCCGCGCTGCCTCGAAGAGGCGGACGGTTCCAATTTTTTGCGCTCCCCTGGAGCTTTGGCATAGGATGATGTTCCCGAGTTGGCGTCGGAAGGCTGTGCAGGGTCTCGGAGCTCCCTCGAAGGCCCCAGCCTTGAAGGAGTTGTGGTTTCTCTTGGGCGTGGGATTACACAAGATGCGTTCACCTGGAGTGGTGCCGAAGTACTGGAATTGTAGTCTTGGGGCTCCTCTGCACAAAAGTCATAAGCGGGGACCTCTTGGAAAACGACTGGTGCATATTCTCCCTGTCCCTGGACAGGCGTTTTTTGCACGTAATTGTCACTACATCCCAGGTGACAATGACTATGGTTTCGTGCGGGGCCGAAGACGGGAAACAGCCATCTTGACTTCTAGTATTGTTTCGCAACGCTTGCGACGAGCTCGCAGGACACACAGTCTATGGTTCAAGGACATGAGTAATGTTTTCGCGAGTGGGAAATGGGACTGCATGGAAGACGCTGTGCAGAAATGTTGCTCGCCCGAGGACCGCGGCTTGTGCCGACTCCGATACCGTGAGGGTGTGGTGGCCTTACCTGCTGGGGAGGGTGGGAGAATAACACTAAGACCTCAGAAGGAGGCTTGATGGGACATCCGTTCGTCGTTCAGGCTTCTAACGGAACCTTTAAGCCGCCGATAGAGGAGTGGCACCAGGATGTGCGTGCGCAGGACCTGTGCCACGGTGAGCTGCTCGCTACTTTCAACAATCGCCAGGTCGATTTGAGCTATTTCAAGTACGTGGACGATGTCCACAACTTCGTCTTAGCCGATCTAGACTCGACCTTGCCAGAATGTGTCCAGAAGATTAAGCATCACGACGTCCTCTTGAATCAGAGACTGGGACCCTGCGGGTTCAAGCAGAACATGTCGAAACGGGAGTTTACAATGTACTTCGGGATCCACCAGGTGTACCTCAAACAAATCCTACGGCGGGGGGGGGCATGATCTGGAAGGCTCCATTAAGGATCAAGTGCGCTATTTGGGACCCCACTTGGCCCTCAAAGATAGTGCTCACCATGAAATCGAACGGCGCGTCTCGGCATCGTGGGTATCGTTCGAATCTCTGGGAGCTGTCTGGCAACTGGAACTCCCCTGGAAATGCAGGCGTCTACACCCTGCGAAATGCTTAAGAAATCATGGGTTAAGAAATTCATGGTCTCAGAACTTGAATGAAAACCCAAAGATTCTATTCAAATCTTAGGATTTACATGGAAACATTAAGAAGCATCGAGACTCTGGCCGAAACCTTACGTCTTCTTAAGCATCGCTTAGCGTCTACTATTGCAGGGCTTCGCCTACAATGCACTCCTCAATCCTCACAAAAAACAGCAACACAAAAAAAAAAAGTCATCAACATCACCTCAAAAAAACAACAAAAACAAAGAACAAAAACAACAACAAAAAGAAACTCCTCAAAACAAGCGGTCCCGAGGCCTTCCGCTCACGGAGACGGCTGCAGTAAAAAAAGAAGAGAGAAAAAAAAGAAAAAAAAAAACCAAAAATTAAAAAAGAGCTGGGGATTGACAGAACCCCGCGCGTTTCTGCCGTATGGCTATGGCGGGTAAGGCCACGGACTGGAGTGGTACTCCAGATTTCGTGATAAAGGGAGGGGGGTCTCATTTCGGGGGGGGTCTCTTCCAGGCTATCTTGGAGGGCCTGGGGGGGTCTGGGGACGATGTTTTGGAGGGTTCTCCCACGGGGTGGGGTCTGAAATGGCTTGTCGTGGAGGGTCCAGACCCCCTCCCTTTTATTACGAAATCTGGAGTAGTCATCCCCATACGATGTCGAATCAGGAGCTTCTGGTGCACCTGGAAACTGACGGGCCCTCGACTGGAGATGCGTCTTCGTCGAATTCGGTTGGTCCAAAGCTGGGCCCGGCGGCCCACACATCACCTCCAGGTTCTCGGAGCTCTGTTCGGGGAACTACCCTTCGAGCGTGAGGGTCCACTCTTACCTTCAGGTGGCCTCAGCACATCTGCATGCTCCTGGGCCGTTCAGCTACGTGACGACCTGCTTGAGGTTGGCGCGGCGCTGGTCCAGGAAATCTTTGAGGAGGTCGCGCAGAACTTCCGTCTTCTAATGGATGAGACGACGGCCTCGCTTTTTCGTGCAGTGGACGCTGCAGCTTACAAATCTAAGCAGTTTACCGTTGCAATCCCCCCTCCAGAGTTTCAGCCAGTTCGACCTGGCACCGTTTGTGCTCAACCCGGGGAGGAGCTCTCGTCTGTTGACATGCCGTGGAGGTGCTGGTCATCCGCGGAAGATGCTGGACATAGGGACGCCCCGTGTGAAGCTAGCTCCCGAACTCGCAGGGGTCTCATGAACCACCTCAGAGGCACCCACGGGCTCCGAAATAGATGCCATGGCCTGACACCGGCTACTCCAGATTTCGTAATAAAAGGGAGGGGGTCTGGACCCTCCAAGACAAGCCATTTTAGACCCCCCCCCCGTGGGAGAACCCTCCAAAACATCGTCCCCAGACCCCCCCAGGCCCCCCAAGATAGCCTGGAAGAGATCCCCCCCCGAAATGAGACCCCCCTCCCTTTATTACGAGATCTGGGGGGTCTCTTCCAGGCCATCTTCTTGGAGGGCCTGGGGGGTCTGGGGACGATGTTTCGGAGGGTTCTCCCACGGGGGGGGGGTCCGAAATGGCTTGTCTTGGAGGGTCCAGACCCCCTCCCTTTTATTACGAAATCTGGAGCAACGTCTGTGCTCACCGTCGACAAAAGTCTTCGCACGCCGGGCGGACGCAGCTAAAAACACGCTGCAGGGCTCCATGCTTCGAAAACACTGCGAAACCACGGGGGAACTCGCAAGGGTCTCATGAACCACCTCAGAGGCACCCACGGGCTCCGAAATGGATGCCATGGCCTGACACCGGCCAACGGTTGTGCTCACCGTCGACGAGTCTTCGCACGCCGGGCGACCGCAGCCAGCTGAACACGCTCCGGGCTCCATGCTCTGGGGACACACTGCGAGAAACCACGGGGGCCGCCGACGCTTCGGGGAGGAATCCCGCCGGCTACCTCGCTCCCTTTGCCCCGTCTGCGATTTTTCGACGGCTCGAGCCTCGCCTGAAGGATTGCAAAAAAAAAAAAAAAAAAAAAAACCTTGAACGAAAGATTGCAAAAAAACCTACTTCATCACCTGTCCATTTGGAATTTTTGTTTGCAATCCTTGGTTTTTTTGCAAGCCTCCTCCTCCTCCGCCTCCTCCTCCTCCTCCGCCTCCTCCCTCCTCCTCCTCCTTCCTCCTCCTTCCTCCTCCGCCACCTCCTCCTCCTCCTCCTCCTCCTCCTCCTCCTCCTCCTCTCCTCCTCCTCCTCCTCCTCCTCCTCCTCCTCCCCCTGCGGCCTCGAGAGCACGTGCCTCACGGGAGAGCCTGCCGCTTCGCACGGTACCCGGGGGGACGTGGCGCCGCCCCCCTTTCCACGCGCCGCGGGCGGCACGGCCAGAAGATCGGGAGCGGCCAAGAGGGGGGAGGAGGGGGAGGAGAGGAGGGGAGGAGGAGGAGGAGGAGGAGGAGGAGGAGGAGGAGGAGGAGGAGGAGGGGGTGCAGATCATGACCGGCGGCATGTGCGCGGCCCAGCGGGGGGGCCAGGGACGTGATGAAGCAAGGAGAGGCGCCATGAGATCTGGGGAAACATCATGACCCCCGCCGTGATATCCAACCCCCCCCAGTCATCACCCCCCTCTTCTCCGCCCCCGAGACGAGAGCGGGGCCACGGCGACGATGGGGGCCGGGAGAAGAAGCACAAGGGCAGCACCGCCGACAGCAGCAAGGGCGGCGGCGGAGGTGGGGGCAAGCTCGCGCTGCTCCGCGCGCGCCTCGCCATGACGCCCGCCGGGGACGCCGCGGACCTCAATGGGCACGGTGTGCCACCGCCGCGAGGTGCCGAACGCCAACGCGGGCCCGGCCGCAGCGGTGGAAGCCGCGGGGGGTCACGTACAGCAAGACCGGCCTGGACATGACGAAGAAGCAGTGCGAAGGTGGCGACGTGGACCGGAAAGTTCCCGGACCACCGCACGTCCACGCAGCGATGGCGGCGATCCTCTACGGCGCGGGCAGGCAGTTCGAGGGCAAATGGCGACGCGCAGGCGGTCAAGCTGCGCGACGAGGTGAAGGAGTTCTACCAGCAGGAGGTCTTCACACCAGGAGCCACGGCGGCGAGGTTGGGCCGCTCGATCCCGCACTGCAGGGGCCAGGTCTTGAAGGCGCAGAACGGAGAGCCCCCCAAGGCCAGCATCTCGATGGCGTGCAACAAGGACACGAAGATCGGCGCGGCGCTCTCGGTCTTCGTGGATGCGCGGGTGGAGATGGCGAACGGCAACTACTCGTGGGGAGCGGCCCCTCGCGGCCCCTCGGAGCGGCAGATGGGCGAGACGGTCTCCACGGGTCAGCTATGAGTCCGCTGATGATCCTGAGCCCCCCTCTGCCCGCGAAGGTCTGACAAAGGGTGTTCCGAGGTCGGAGCCTGGGCCAAGACAACCCCAGGTCGGGGCGCTGAGACAATGTTTTTCAACCCTTTCAGGGCGCCCATGGCCAGGACTGTTTTCGCGGGTAGCGAACATTTTAAGAACCGGGTAGCCCGAAGAATTCTTTCAAGTGATGTGCGTGTTTCTCCTCCCTCCGCTCGGCTCGAGACGTACGCCGACGCCCCTCTTCCTGACCCACTCTCTCGCGCGCCAATCATCTACGCCCCGCGAGCCCAGCCTAAAGCAGGTTCCAAAGGCAAGGGGAAGCGTGTGAGCGGTCGGGGGGGGCGGGGCTGGTGGGTCGGAAGTTCCCGTGCCGCTGGAGCCTGCCCCCTAAGGCGGCGTGCCCGCTGTACGGGGTGCAGGATCCTCCTCCTCCTCCTCCTCCTCCTCCTCCTCTTCCTCCTCCTCCTCCCCCTCGTCCGCAGCCATTTTGGCTCAAGATGCGTTGTTCCACAGGGGCGCACGAGGATACCGCTAGTCTGCGGCTAGTGCTAGGGCGACGCAGCCCAACAGTTTTGTTCAAGAGTCTCGGCCTTCACCGCGGGATTTGGGCCCCCGCCCCAGGATTGCCGCCAAAGGAATGGCGCAGCCGCACCACCAAGCGGAACAGCGCAAACATCAGTGGTCTTGCAAGAGCTGCGTCGGGGACCGTGGCTCGCCATGGTTCAACGCCCCCGACGCGACGTCGTGCACCAAGTGCGCGCTGGGGAAGGGCCTCTGCTTCAAGGAGCACCGCTTGCCTTCGGCTCCGCCCTGCTCAGCACGCGCACCAGGTCGCACGCTGGCAGCATGGACGAGTTCGGTCGAGGTGCAGAAGCTCAAGGCGGAGTTGGCCACGGCCTACGCCAAGCTCCAGCAGGCCACTGGCCAGACAGCCCCTCAGCCCGAGGAGCCAGCCATCACTGGCGACGAGCAGTACAAGAGAAGGTTGCGCGAGCTTGCGGACCTCATCAAGACGGCAGGCTCCAACACCGACCCGCACACGGTCGCAGCCAAGGAAACCCACCCCAAAGAGCAGTCTGGGATCAAGAACAAGCTGGCTGCTGCCAGGCCGTTGGGACAGCGGCTCCGCGACCTGGGAGCGCAGATCACACGCCGAGAGAAGTTACGCCAAGACCAGGAGCGGAAGTGGGGCAACCTCAGCGAGCGGAAGGCGCAACTTCAAGAGCAGGGGGACGCCGCCACTAAGCAGTTGGCGGAGATTGATAAGCAGATGGGGGAGTTACAGGAGCTGAAGCGCGAGCTCCAGCGTGCAGCACCAGTTCCTCCCCAGAGCTCCACTGGGCAGCCTGCCGCCGACAAGCCAATCAAGGGCCTCTCGGTCACGCTCGACGGCCTTCGCGAAGTGCTCACGGCGCTCGGGGCTAAAAACGAGCTGGCGGAGCGGCTCGAGACTGATTTCGAGTATTTGCGCAAGCTGGAGGCTAA